CCAGGAACACGGCAACGACGACGGCCTTTCGGCGCGGCGTCGGCGCCACGAGGTACAGCAGACGCGGCGGCGCTTCCTGGACAGCGGGCAGGACGGGCCGGATGACATGTACGCGCGGCGGTTGAGGTCCGGCGAGGCAGTGCCGCTTGTGGGGGACGTGAGGGCCGAACTTTTGCTGCGAGAGCAGCGAGGGCGTGCTGGATGTGCTCTCCTCGAGCTCGTAGCCTTCTTCTCCGTCGGCTAGGAACTGTGCCTCCTCGTCAGCGCTCCGGCGCGACGACGCGTCATAGTCGTCGTCCATGTCCTTGAATGGGCGGTCCCCGACGCGGGGACCATCGCCGGCGCCCATTCTGTCTTCAACCTTCACCGATCCCTCACTTGGCCCTCTCGCCTCGTCTGTCTCTCGCACACCTCCCAGGGCGTGTTCTCTCTCAGATTAGGCGTTCACCGAGTCAGTCTATGAGTACATATGAGTACGTATGTGCGATTGACTGAGTGAATAATGTAAAGCGTCGGAATTGAAAATCGACCAAAAGTTGCTGACAGATGACGTGTGGAAAAGCAAGGCTGTGTCTTTTCCCTCTCAGCTCTCAGGGGGTGGGAAGATCCCGAACAGGCAGCAAAGAAACAAAGGAAGACAAAGGGACGGCTGGCGCTTAACGGAGGCGACGTGGTCGAACTTTAGACTTTCAAGAGCCACAAAGAGGATAAGGCCGCCATCAACGAACGCCTCCCAAAAGCCTCAAAAGGAGCTCCTTCAAGGGTGGAAATTAGTACGGTGATCGGAAGGATCGGAGGGGCGCGCTACGCTCAGGAGGGGGAGCCGCCGTGTTTGCTGTCTGCCCAAATGCCACGCTTCTCGAGTCCCTTGCCCTCGCTCTACCGCTCTTCCAGTCCTCTGCCTCCTCTGTGACACGAGCGTCAAAGCTTCTTTTTCTCTTAAGGGAGACGAGACGCCAAACTGAGACAAACAGTGGAGATGTTTCCAGGGATCTGCTGCGGTTAATCGGCGCCGTCGGGGTGCGCTTCCTTTGGCTCCCCTGCTGCCATGTTTTTGTCTGAACCACTGGGATTCCATCCTTTGTTAAGCGAACAACTGTCAACTCCTAGTCTCTTTCGACTGGTTCACAAGACTCTTGAAGAATCCAAGATGACTCTCAAGTCTTCAAAGGACAGGAGGAGAGAGCCTTGCAATCGTTTTCGGTTGGATTTTCCGAAGCCAGCGACCCGAATCTGGCTTACTCAATCTGAAACTAACAAGGAGCGCCTTGGCCAGGGTCTCACAGGGCAAATTTTAGCTCAAGATGAGACTAATATAGCTATCGATACGAATCGGCGGTGAGTCGGGGTGAAGAAATCAAATCAAAGCAAAGCAAAGCAAACGAGGGCAAATCTCGGCCTGAGAACCCAAACGTCGCCCTCATCTTGGGAACTGTCAGAGTGACACTAATCGCGAATGTGAATACTGAGCCTCACTTCAGCGGCTGAAGAAGCCTCAAACCAAAAGAACGGATGGCCCCGAGGCACCAACGGGGCGTCGCTACCGTGGTTTCTAGCGTGCGGTCCAGCAAAGTCAAATCTCCAAATGACATCAATTGACTTTGAATCTGCATCATAATTTTTATGAGTAGCAGAATCACTTACCTAGGTACCACAGTAGTCGACGAAAAGATTGGCATAATGCAGTACTTACACAGTCATTCCTAAGAGTTGGGACACTTTCACATGGTCACGGGTACACATCCCGCGTCTCTGGGAGATATTATGGTGACAGTCCTCTCAGTTTCAGTTCGTTTAGCTAATGCTGTTTCCCAATTATGGCATCAGAAATCGAGGGGTTTGGTCGACTGCCTCTACGAGGCGACGTAGTAGCTAGCCCTAGGGACTCATGTCCTGATACATTCTGTCGCGTGCTCAACTTAATTACTAATACTCATCCGGTCGAAGGACCATGTTCCCGATAATACCTCGTCTACAACTCTGCTCAGATGTCACAAGTATACTCCATCGTCAGATCAACCCGGGGAACACCCTCAAACCCAGCAGGAACCGCGTAAGACACGTTATAATACCAGTGGTTTCTCAACTGCTGCCCATAGGAAATCGGCAGCTTGTCCAACCCTGGGGCCGAAACATTGACGCTCAGGCACGGCAGCTCTTCCAATCCGGTAATCGTCTTCCCGCCCAGCGTCCACGAAGGCGGAATCCCGGATAGCGCAAACGTGAAAATATCAGACCCTTCCTGCGTGCTGTTCGGATATGACACGCTGAGTGACCTCTCGCCCGCCACGGCCGAAATGGTCGATGCCGAAGGGTACAGCAGGAAGAAGCCGATGTACGGGTACGGCGTGTGCAACGGGTCCGAAGCCCAGTGCACGATCGCCGGCACGAACTGATCCCCGCGGTTCTTGGTCTCCGCAAGCTCCTGTCCACCGATCATGAGTGGCGCGCTAACCCACGACGTCGTCGTGCGCGTGGCGTCCGAATCCAGTTTCTCCTTGACCTCGCGCGTGATGCTGCGCTCGCCGGCCCAGGGGCCCTTCGCCTTGAGCGCCGCCGCTGTGCTGTTGGAGATGTGCCGGGCCACTGTGTCAGAAACCAGCGCAATCGCCGCGCCCTGAGCTGCATCGAACAGCAAATCGCCCTCGCCCTTGGGCGGCTGAGGCCCGTACTCGCGCCCGAAGACGGCCCACCAGTACATGGGCAGAATGGATGAGTGCTTGGTCATGTCGCGGGTGTAAGCGCGGTCATAAGGGCCGACGAGGTTGCCCAGGTAGGGGTTATAGTGCGCTGCAATGTCATCCCACAGCTTCGTCAGAATGTACTCGGCGTTCTTCGTCAGTGTTGCGTTGCGGGGACCATAGGCGATGTTGGCGGCTAGAGCCCAGACGTCCATGCCGTAGTAGTTTGGCGCATTGTACTCCCCAAGGGTATTTGAGCCGTTAGACTTGAAGAGCTCAAGCAGCTGGGACCCTTGAGTGTTTGCGAAGTTGATAAAGGTTGCGTTGCTGCGACGGGCGCCGATCCAGCCTACTGTAAGGGCACGCATGAGGCCCGGGTTGGAGTATCCCAGTATGAGGTTATCGCCTTCGGGGTAGCTACCGTTGCGCCTCATTGCGCCAATGGCTTGGATCTCGAGCGCATCTTCAATTTTCTTGACGAGGTCTGCGCCCAGGAGATCAGAGTAAAGTTCGACGTCTTGTACTAGTTGAGTCCTGGATCATATTAGTATCATTGGATCCTTGTACGTCCTCGAACCCTTCCAAATGCCATGATGTTGGACTCCTTCAATGTTTCCAAAGACTCACCCTATAAATTCTCTCCAATTTGGGTCGTAAGTAGTCTAGATTTGTGGTCAGCGGATTGCGTCTGGGTTGGCAACCACCGCTTTTGCACTTAGACTATGCTCACATAGATCTTGGGAGGGTACAGCTCAGAATCCGGCGTTGGGTCCGGCTCGTCGGGCGACAGCTTGAGAGTGCCATACCACGCCGATTCGTAGTCCGAGGTCATCTGGCTCGCCAAACTGCATCGTAGTCCACAAATTAGCACTCTCAACCACTCTTAAACTCTTCATCCAACCGACTGACATGTTCTCAATCGCCGCCTTTGCGTTCTCCACGTCGTCGCCCTCATTGCGATGGAGCAGACCCGCCGTGTACCAAGCCGTGAAGCGGACGGACCACGGACCCTTGTCTTGGTACCAAATAAGGTTGTACGAGTCGTCCCATCTGGAGTCCTGGACCCCCATAGAGTAGTCGAATAGACTTTGGGCATCTAAACAGTAGTGTAAGTCAATCTGGACTACCTACTTGATATCCTAGATTTCTTCTATGTCTCTGGCGTTTACTTACTTGCGGAAAGCTCTGGCTTGCTGGCCGCGGCGGACCCTAGCGTTGCGCCAGAGGCCACAAGCGAAGCGACAGCTAACTTGAGATGCATGGTGCTTGTAGGAATGCGATGAGAAGTACGGAGCAAAGCCGGGAAACACTTTCCAACCTGACGTATCCATCTCCCTGCCGTCTCATGCCAGCTACTATATACCGAAAGTGACCCTCAGCGATCACATAGTGGATATCACAGCAAGTCCATAAGGGAATTGATCAATTATTCCGTTCACACGCGAGCACCTAGCCGGGGGTAGATCACCACTCATCAAGAAACACCATCATCAACCCCTCACGCCAACCTCACTCAGGCTTCCTCGACCGAACTGCTCCTAGCCTCCCTGGCCTCTCTACAGGTCCGCCAATCACAGATACCAATTTCAGCTCTACAAGCCCCGGTCCGAACCGGGCCGGAACCGGTGGACCATCACCGTACCCCGGGCGAGGTTACATACCCCAACTTTGGTCTTAGTGAGCTGCGCTTGGGCGGAGTCTAGGTAAACGGGTTTGCGGGGTGAGATCCAAGAACCACGCGTTGGTCTCGGGAATGGCACCATAAGAGAGCCGGGGATAAACGTCGGGAAGATCATAGAGGCTGCTGGGGCAAACCCGATATCCAGTGCTTGTATAGCTGCGTGATTCGATAGTGAAGAACCTAGTCTCCGAGGGGATGGTACAGCCTCCACTTCTACAGAGGTCATGTTACCAGCGGCATATCTATCGTCGCTCCTGATTCGGACGCATTTCGCCCGAGTATCTCGCCAGTGGATGATAGGCGCAGCCTACCCGAGCCCATGGATCCTTTGAGAAAACCCTGCCGGTATCTCCTGATCTCCCCTCGGGAGCTCCTATCGGCAGGCTGAGGTTTACACGACCCCAACAATCTCTACTCTGGGAAATGTCCTACGTGACTCCGGCCCGGAGGTTGGCCGGACATAGTAACATCGAGCCTGCTATCGGGAGCCGAGTGGGATACGAACGGATCGGGCCTGGCTTGTTATTATCTCGGAGCTCGTAGCATAATAACGACACCGTGTCCCCCGTCCCTACGGGATTCTGCCATGTTGAGTGTCTTCGGATTAATAGGCAATGTCTCGTTCTTCGACCGCAGCAATGTCGCAAAACGCTGCCGCAAAAACTGAGCCGGCCGGCGGTATCCCCGTTACTGTTGACGCTGCTATCGCGAACAAAAGAGGGGCATTCGCTTGGTTCTCAAATGCGGGAATCGTCAAGCTCAACTGTGTCATCGCGCTTTCATTGGTATCGAGCTACGCAACCGGCTACGATGGCTCAATGATGAATGGCCTCCAGTCTCTGGACACATGGCAGGAATCATTCAATAACCCTGGAGCTCAGGAGCTGGGACTGTGAGTATTCTCATTCGCCCAACGCTGAGTCTGCCCTAACATCAGAGAGACTGAATGCGATCCAAAACGTGGGCCAGCTCCTCGCACTCCCCTTCTGCGCCTGGTTCTGCGATCGCTTCGGACGCAAACCCGCCCTCCTAGTCAGTGCCTCCATCCTCCTTATCGGTGTCGCCCTCCAAGGCGCAGCCCAGAACGTCGCCATGTTCATCATTGCTCGCGGTGTTCTCGGCTTCGGCCTCGCGCTCAATATCACCGCCGCGCCTCTTATGATCATGGAGCTCGCGTACCCGTCCCAGCGAGCGCCGCTAGTATCCATCTACAATTCTCTCTGGGGATTGGGAGCTTTGAGCGCCGCGTGGATTACCTTTGGTACATTTCGAATCGGGAACACGTGGGCTTGGAGGATTCCTTCGATCTTGCAGGGACTTTCGAGCGTGGTGCAGCTCGGGTTGTGCTTCTTTATCGAAGAGTCTCCGAGATGGCTCATCTCAAAAGAGAGGGATGCGGAAGCCGAGAGGCTGTTGGTGAAGTACCACGCCAACGGCGATGCTTCTGACCTCATCGTTCCATTGGAGATGGAGGAAATTAGGACGGCACTGAGGTTGGAGGCGGAAGCATCGCGGACTACGTCGTACATGGCTTTCTTCCAGACACCAGGTAACCGGCGCCGTTTTCTCATCATTCTTGCTGTCGGTTTCTTCTCACAGTGGTAAGTCATACGCTTTGCTACCTCGCCTATTCATCACCATCTAAGTCTATCTTGATAGGAGCGGCAACGGTTTGATCAGCTACTACCTGACCTTGATTCTCAACTCGATCGGGTATACCTCCCAAGACACGCAGACGCTAATAAACGCCCTCATCACTCTGTGGGGATTATTCTGGGGTCTCCTCGCCTCCGTTCTCGTCAACCGTTTCCGCCGCCGAACGATGTTTCTCGCTTCGACTATCGGATCCCTCGTGTGCTACGTCATCTGGACAGCACTTCAAGCAACATATGAAAAGCAAACCGACCTCACTGGCGCAGGATCCCCGGGCCTCGCAAAGGGTGTCTTGGCCATGATCTTCTTGTACAACGTCACGTTCACTGTGGGATGGGGCGCGCTCCAGGTCACCTACGTCGTGGAGATTCTGCCCTTCAACTTGCGTGCCAAAGGCTTGGTTCTTTACAACTTGTTCGTGGCACTGGCGTTGATCTTTAACCAGTACGCCAACCCGATTGGCGTGACGAACTCAAAGTGGAAGTACTACATCACGTATGATGTGTGGCTGGCTTTTGAGGCTGTGGTGGTGTATTTCCTGTTTGTGGAAACAGGAAAGATGAGCCTGGAAGAGACTGCAGTCATTCTTGATGGCAACGAGGATAGACTGACCGAAGAGGTGGCTCGGAAGACGGAGAAACTTGCCTTGGAAACACATGCGCATGTTGTAGAGGACAATAACCATGAGTGAGCGGATCGGAGCCGCTGGAAGCAGTGACATACCTCGACAGGATGTCCATATATTCTCATCCCTGGATACCTATTACTTAGGTTGCATAATACAGTGTGGATACATTTAAGTGTTGGTAGTGAGAACTTGATCCTGAATGAATTAATCTGCACAAAATCACAAGTAACTGAATCAAGATCCAATTGCTCTTTTGACTGAGTTGAACTTATATTTCACGGTGTTCAATGGTACTGAGGAATGCCCTTCGAAGGAACACCTGCACCGAATGCCGAAGCTTGGTTCATCAGCAATGATAATGACTTTTTCATTAATGCTCTGCGAAGGCATGCCTACAACTATCTAATCAACATGCCGCTGGGCTACCACGAGACGGATATCATCCACACCTCTTTCAACCGGGAGGCCAGTTTGAAGGGGCCTCCGCTAAACGCGTCGGTGTCAATCACAATGCAAGCGTACGTGACGAATCTTGAATTGATTGGCTGCCCAAACGGCGTGAGCCTTCCATTTATGGTTGAAATGCAACTTACATGTCAATCTATGACGGACTCCCTGTTTCACATAGCGATGCAATAGACAGATTCTCTTTGTGGCAACAGGCGGACTGCAGATGTCAACCAGCCGCCTACGAGACTGACATGACCCCCTCACATATCAAGCAAAAGCACTATAGACAGATCTTAAGTCTAGACTTTCGATTTATCTATCAAGTGATTCGTAAAGCATTGGCATCTAAACACAAAGTTATCCACTATTGCTATACCCCGTCATCAACGAATCTAAGCCCATGCTGGAATACACCCCAACTCTCTTTGCCTACCTTAGCCTTCACTCTTACTTACGCCACCTCATGTCTATTTATTCCGAAATCTTTGTCCCTTCAATAAGATGTCTGATTTGACACCGTGTAGTCGCAAGTCCGCTTTGAAATCGAATCCCTCTTGACTCCATGTTTTGTCAACATGACCGATTCGACCAGACCAAAGTTAGCACGATGGGATTCAATGACCACTAATTTACGCACGTAAGTTACTTCGCTGAGGAACTGGGCCAAAGCGAGAATAATATTATGCGGCAGCATAAAAACGGTCGTCGCCGAGAGCAAGTTACAGATTCTGTCCAAGCTTGCCGGAGCCTCCATGTCGGGGTGGCCGGCCCCGCACGCAGGACTCAGAACATGAAACACCTGGGTGATAGAGCATGGCCGTCTAGCCGCCAAAGGCTCTGGTTTGTGCCAGGCGAACTAAGATACACGTACTTGATCAAGTTCTCTATCAAAATTCTGCACTGGTGGATGTGGTGATGATAGTCATCAGTTGACACTTTTGGCGAATACTTTAATATGGTTGTCGCCTCGGCGGAGAATGTCCTTCGGCAAACGATGCTTCAATTTGGCACGGAAGTCAAAATCAGAAAGTCCGCTTGTTCCAAAGTCTCGGCTATATTGCAGTTGTCACATCATCACCTTTCTCGACCTTTATTCATAAGATTAGAGTTCAAATAACTCCACTTTCCAGGCTGTACCAAGGACGTCTCTGACGATCGCTGGCGGCCTCGGGATGCAAAGCACAGCTTGCCAGCGCCTTGCCAAGAGTGCCGCCGAGTGAACGACTCTACTCAAGTGGATCGTCCGACGCCCGCTGTCAAGTATGAGAAAACTTGGGTACCGGTGCCCTTCCAGTTGCTTCAGACTTTATTTTAGTAACGAAGACAGTATGCATTGGCCCGCAGCTCGAAAGTCAGTTTTGCATCAGCAGGGCAGCTCCTGTTTCGTGTTAGCAGCACCGGCTTCTAGAAGCAGTCTCTGGCTGCTCTGGCTGCAAGGTTCGAGTCAGTCAATGCTGTGCTTGGTGATGCACCCAGCCAGCTGCGCCCAAGTCTTACGACATCGAGAACGTGAAGTGCAATGTAGGTAATGCAGCAAACCGAAGACCCATCCGATAACAAATCGGTTCATGTGGGATAAATACCCCAGGCCCGGCCTAAATAGTTTCTCGAGTCTCGACTTTCTCAAGCAGCCAAACACCACCTCCCACTTTGATACAGAGACAAACATTCTCTTCCGAACCCAGCATTCGAATTGCATCTTTATCTTTCAACAATCGATTCGAGCGTTCAATATGAAGTCATCCGTCCTTACAATGACCGTGGCCTTCTTGGGGCAAGTACACTCGCTCTGGATTTTGAAAAAAACGCACATATTAACCGACTTACAGTGCAGCAGTCTCCCAAGAGATCTTCCGTTGCCGTTGCGCGAGTGCAAGCAATTTTGACGTAAGCCTGGAAGGTATCTCAAGCCTGTGTACCTCCAAGGGCGGAGAGATTGAGAGCGCAGGCTTGTGCGTCAAGGTGCCCTCCAGATTTACAAACGACGAGTGCACAAAGGTCGAAGCCGGGGCCAAGGGCGACTGTATCGTCGACACCACCTCCGGCGGGTCCACCAGCTCCGTGTCGTCGCCCGCCGCTACGGCACAAGCTACTGCGAAGCCTAGAGCCGTCGATCCTCAAGCTTGGGTGGCCTAGATGGTTAAGAGGACGAGTTGTTGCCGATGAGGGCTTGCAGGGTATATCTACTATCCTGCCAAATGTCGCCCGACTCTTTGAACTTAGTAGCGCTTACTTAAGATACCACTATAAATCAGTCTTGATTTTACCCACCTCCACGAGACTTGATGTACTACCGTGTTTACGATGTTCGATGGCACCACGCCTTAGGTCATGTGAAACTGCTTGCTGGGGATTGTTCCGTGGTCCCTGGTGCTGTGTGTTGAATACTTGAGTCGGCATTCACGCCGTTGGAAGCTGTGCACAGGCCAGCGATCATGATGGAATAAGAGCAAGGAAAAATGATGAAAGTCTACAAACAAGATAGTTCAAGGGTTCACTTCGTCTTTACGGTGGACAGTTGTTTGGTTCTCAGTCAGGTATTACGGCAAATCGGCAAGTGGGCATGTGAAATTGGGCCCGAACTGTCCGAAAGCGTAGCTACCGAAGCGCCGAATACTCCGACCCAGTGACGTCAAACGGTTCCGAGTGTCGGACGACGGCGGGAGTTCAATAGACCCCTCACTTCATCAGTTGGCTTCACTGACCAAGGGAAATTCGGACTTCAACCTGACTTTGGTTATAAATTGCCAAGAAGTAAACTACATAGACTCACTGAACTTTCGATCTTCGGGTAACCTTTCACGCTTAGAGTTCATTGAGCATTTCTTCGACTTTCACAACCTTGTTTACAATGTTTTACCAGCCCGGTGTTGATGATCACGGTTTACCATATGATCCATTTAAAGTGAGTTGCCCATCGCATCCCAAAAGACGCTATCGACTTTCCCGCTGAACATACGTGTCTAGGCATGCGTAGTACCTCGTGCGATTGGATGGATCTCATCCGTCTCACCCGAAGGCGAGCACAACCTAGCCCCCTACAGCCAGTTCACAAACGTCAGCTTTGACCCGCCCATGGTCATGTTCAGCGCGAACCAAACGTACGCTGAAGACCGAAAAGATACCGTCAACAACATTGAGCGTACCGGAAGCTTCTGCTGGCAGCTCGCAACGTACCCCCTCCGGGAGAGCGTCAACATCTCGGCGGAAGCCATCGGCCCCAACGAGGACGAGTTTGAGAGAGCTGGCCTAAAGAAGACTTGGTCAAAGAGTCTGAAGACGTCCGTACCCATGGTTGCCGATTCGCCTGTCCGCTTCGAGTGCGAGTATATGCAGACAGTGCGCCTTCCCGGGAAACCGCCAATGGGAACTGTCGATGTTATTTTTGGCAAAGTTGTCGGCGTTCATATTGATGACAGCGTCTTGACGGATGGGAGGATTGATGTCTCCAAGACGAATCCAATTGCCCGACTAGGGTACTTCGAGTACGGTATCATAAACGATCGCTTCGAGATGATTGTACCTGGAGATAAGCGCATGCTCATTGGGGTAAGTTAAGTGCCTTTCAAGACTCACAAAGTTACGAGCGAGGTGATTTATTGACTTCTGACTTTCTTATTCAGCTCGAGGGTAACGCAAGTAATCACACCAAAGACAACCTCAAAGGAGCTTCGGGTGCGGATGCCTCCACCTGAAAGAGTAAATACGAGATTCAGATTGCCTCCATATAATATTAAAGACCCAAAAAACCTCTCAAGATGGACTGTGGGATTCTGTCCGAGGATTATCGGCTGCTTCGTGTTTGAGCATCTTCAAATGTACCAAGCAGTTACCGAAAGCAAAGTGTTCGTGGACTCGAACTGCATTGTTGTCTAGCTCAGGATTCTAGATATCAACAAGCCTATATCCAGACTCCAAGGATCTAATAGATGATGCCGTCTGGTGTTGACAACAAGCTCTCAACTAACTTTGGTGACTATATCTGGGATATTAAAACGTTCGGCATTGAGATGACTATTTTGATTTATCATTATAGAATATCCCAGATGGACTTAATAAGTCACCGATACAACTATCGAGGTGCGGAATACGTCAAGATCTTATGTTATCTGACTGGCGATTGAGATTCTAGTTGTCTGTGACCACCTATGAATCTTCGTTACGTTTGTTTTGTTCCCAAGCGATCGAAGTGTACAAGTTTCATTCTATTCTACTTGCGCCATACTAGGTAAATCATATAGTCACGCAGCCTTTTCAATATCGAATTTGCTCGAAACTTGCTCATCAATTCAAATTTTGTCTACTTCGGCCGGGATCAGTAATCGAGATCTGGAGTGAATGCCTGCAATCCGACGCTGGGGGCCCAGTCAAAGGCGCGACACGCATGCAAGCTTATCTTGTAAGGCTAAAAAGAGGTTGCCAGAAGTGTGCTCTGACCCGATTCTCTGGATAGGGCGGCTTCCTTTATTGTAATCCCAGTAGTCTGGCAGGTTGCAGAATGCGGATAGAGCGCAGCGCTATTCACAGCGCCCTAGACATGGGGTTGCCAACTAAAAGAAATTTCCTATCTTCCGCCGCGATACTCAAGAACTCTCCTCAGGCGCATTTTCAAGCTTTGCACGCGGTCGCGTTTCTCGTAGAATAGGCGCATTGTGTAAAGGAATGAATTGCCGATTATACTCAAAAGAATGAGCCTCGCGCACGGAGAAACGAGCGCCAGTTGAGACCATAGTCAGTTCAGCGACTCGAATTCTTCAGGCATTGAGAATGTATCTTTGGCTTCGTGGTCACTGAAGCATTTTTCACCCGGAGGGATCTATCGTCGCATTGCATACAGCGACTGGGGGGGCCGTCTGGTTAGCCGGCATGTGGGAGGTTATCGGTTTGCTCCCAGAGTCCCAGACATCAGCCTGCCCGATTAGGCAGTGCAACCCACCAGTACCGCAGGTTACATGCACCTTATTCTCTACCTTAGCTTCAGAAACGAACAGTTGATCCGGGATCCGAGAGTCTTGCAGAGCCTCATGGACGACACTATGAAGCTTGGGAGCTTTCAACCCAAACACAAGGTCGTGATGACTTCAACTTCTTGCACAGCAACATGCTGACACTGTAATATCTGTGCCAAGCCGGTGTCATTACGAACCCAGTCCCTATCGGCCCCACAGAGCCTGTTGCTTGGCAACCTGGAAATGGACCTCGTCAAATGGGGCCTCGAGGATCGATGGAGTCTTCACATGCCACGCATGGACGCACTATGTGGTTCTCCAATTCAACCCACCGGGCCGTTGTGGTTCTGTACTCTAACATAAACTACGCTGACATCAAAAAGCCAGAACAGACGATCTAGCTGCATAACGGTCCCAGTGAACAAGTGGAAAAATCGAATCCGAACACGACACCTCCGCCCTCCGCGAGACTACCCGCGGGAAGATGTCCCAGAAGCTCTCGTCGCATGGCCTAACTTTGTGATGCCATATCAGCGAAGTTTGAGCGAATGCCCCTTAGCGCGGCTACGTGGTTTATCTCCTTCCTATTTCCCTCCACCGTACCGGCCTGGCCCCAGAATATCTGCGATGCCTGCGCAGTGCCGAGAAATATCAGGGGAAGCTATGGCCGGGACGGAAAACATCCACCGCTGGTTCCAAGACGGACATGCGGCATGCCGTCATCTCTCGTTTGCCCCTCACGTTCTTCTCAAGCCTCATCAATGTCTCTGCCGGTGCCGCCGCCCACGGCCCGCACGGGGGGATTGCTAACCCGGAATTTCACGAGAAGACCAAGAGAGGAAGACAGAGATACGTTGCACGGACAAGAAAGAGGCAGATATCCTGCTTGCTTCTGCTGAATATGAAGCCTGCCATTCAGTATGATTACGCGAGTCACGCGATCGGGCGGCACCGAGCCCATCCGGCCTTTTCCCCTCCCTCCTTCTCTCGCTGCCCCCAGATTCCTCAATCCCTCAGCCACTCGACTTCACTATCATCCCCGAGAGGCCCCGTCCAGACGCGCCCCTCTTCCTTCGCTTGAATTAGTCAAACGTTAAACGGCAGTTGACCCCAGTCAACGAAGCAAGCCGAGCTTCCTAGTTGCGGCTCTTGGCGAAGACTCCGCAGCGTTAATCGACTATCAGGACAGGGGAAGTCGGGCGCTATTCGCTTCTAACTGGCGCGCTCTTGGGCGGAGCATCCAGTGTCATCAGTGAAGCTGGCATGGCCACTGTCATCGCTGCACGTGTTGAACAGCCTGAATGAGAAATCCGAGCGCAGTTCCCCACAAGCCAGCACGGAAAAGCACCGCCTTCGCACGCGCCAATTTCCAAATGGGAAGACACCTTCATCAAAAGGCTTGATGATCATTTCAGGAAGCTGGCTGCCAACGCAGACATGGGATGAACGCATCGTCTTACTCGCCTCAAGGTTACTCACCAATCTAGATGTTTGCATGTCGGTTTTCATCTTCCGACGTCGAATCCAGAATGCGAACCCACACGATCGATAGGAATACGAGGTTGTGGGAAAAGGCAATATGTCATTTCTTGGTGTCTTCACTCAACACAGAAGGCCGCAGCTGCAGAGTTGCGCCAGAGTCCATGTCCTCCTCGAATGCAACAGCGCTTACCCGCATATTCTGCCCCAGACCATTCACCCACCATCACGCATGGTCCTGTACCTGAACCTCGCTGATCAAAGACCGCATCGGGGCAGCTTTCTAGTTTAGACCGCGATGCCAGTGCTCTTTGGCCGGCAATTGGGCCATATGGGGATCTCCCGCCTCCAGATAGTCTATTGCAAGACCCCCTCTATGGTCGGAAATCAGGACGGATGTGGCAGGCGGGAAGAGGTTAGGGCGCGTGTGGAGTTTGCGTAGCTTTTTAATTAAGTCCTGGTCAGTTCGTAATCCCTACATCGGGTGGCCCAACCAATGTCAACACGCGACCTTCCACATTAAGCATAAGTTGAACTAATATGGCTCCTCTGTTAAGGTAACCTCCGACGGTCTTGGTAAACAACTCCCAAGCAAATCAAGAGCCGGAAACCCTTTCCAATGTCTCATTCAATGGTAAGTCAGCTCGAGTCAATTCATGCCTCCAGCCAACCACAATTCTGCCTCCGCGGGGCTAGTGGTGGTCGGTC